GGTTTGACTTCTCGGGGCTGAAATTAAAGTTCTTCGGGACCTAATTTTCTGAGGACGATTCTTCCAGACAACGGTAAAACATATAAGAAAGCAGAAATCTCGTAGTCTTCAAAAATGTCTTCGCCCCTCCCCAACAAGTTCTTTGAAGGAAGTTATTATTGCTGAAAGCTCAAAAACTCGCATGTGCTGCTCAAAAACCTATGGGAACAAAATGTTCGAACGTGTGATTTTCTCGGAAAATGGATTTTGAAAAACGGTTTGGGGCTTGTTAGAAAGAGCAAATCCTGTACTTTCACCCCATGAAAAAAGTGCATCACAGAAATGAAAATGAAGTGAGTTATGGTCGCTGAAAGCCCAAAAACTCGCTTTTGCACGAAAAATGTTCGAACGGGACAATTTTTTGAAAAAGGGGACAATCACTAAACTTTTTATACTATTTTGTTAGAGAAATATTTGAAGTTTCTGAAACTTTTTACAGATTTCCAAAATGTCGCATACGAAAGATTTTATGGGCCTTCAAAGTTGAAGGTGCGCCTTCTTAGAATTTTGGGTTTTCCACTTCTAACAGAAGTACTTTCCGGAGAGTTAGGCAATCCTTGTAGTTTTCTGAAAGCGCACCTCAGGCACAATCAAAATCTACCTCAACAAGTCAAAAAAGTACGTCCCAAGAAAGTTATTCCCCTCTAAAATTTTTTCTTCGCCGCGTCCCGTTCTTCCAGCGCCCGGGTGATACCTGCCGCGCTCCAAGGCCGACGCGACGACGCGCAGACGCTTTCTGGCGCAACGGATTCATGTCTAGCACTCTTATTAACAAAAACAGGGGGTCAACTGGACCCCCTCGAGAGCTAGGGGGTCGCAAAAATCCCGAAAATGTTCGAACGTGACGGTTGACCCTGCCCCCAACCCTAGAACTGCCTACAGTCCCCCTGGCTCACGGAGTACCGCATACAGGGTGGGTCCAAAATTATGAGGACCGCGTGCGCGCGCAGTCATATCCACTTTTTTCCGTATCGCTCCATTTTCATCTCGTTTTCTGTGCACTATGTGAAAGGGTACAATGTCTTCTTCCTAATGAAACCCAAATTTCATGAAGTTCTCAAAACTAGTGAAATAACTACTTCACTTTGAGTCAGTCCTCAAATTGAACTCACTAGGGGCTCTGGCACGTTACATCTAGCAGCAGTCTAACCTATCAGAGAAGCCCTTATGAGCAACAGTTCAACTCTTCAATAAGTTTGGAATCACCACAGATGGAAAATTCGGGGACTCGAAAGTTACAGTTACCACCAGGATAATTATCAGATGCAGAAACTAGGTCTCCCCTTGTCGACTTTCGTACACCCAAAATGAAAAAATTGATGTGAAAACCCAGCCAGACACTCTAAAGACTCCACATCTGTAGTGGATAGAAAGCCACACGAGTAGTCTACTTAGAACTTCTTACAGGACCGAGCACCCAAGAATAAAGCAAAAATCCTCCAAAAAGCGATTTTTCGAGTTCGTTGCTTTCGAAGAATTGTTACAATGGAACCATCCACCTAATAGCTCTAGATTTCTGTATTTCACACCCTGGATGCAAGCGCAAATAAATGCAACACAAAAGTTTGATTCCCTGAAGAAGGCAGAGCAGAAGGCCTGGAAACATTTGGACACGCCTTAGTTGCGTGCCACCGCACGCGCCATCCCCCTCATCCGAAGGCCTACGTGGGCCCGGGAGGCTCGCTTAACGGGGAAAGTGGCAGATCTCAATTCTATTCTAGGAATTACTCTGAGGTAAGAGTTACAAATACTTCCAGAAGTTGGTTTGTTCCATCAAGCTACTATCCGTTTTTAACGACACAATGTCTTGGTCCTCATTTTTTGTTATTTTTGGATCACCCTGTACACAAAGATAGCCAGGCGCTGCCCCGCGCGTGGTAAGGTAAATAAGTTGCCCATTGCGCGATAGGGATCAATGGATTTTCATTACACGAAGGCGAAAGGAAAATGTTACACGATCAAAGAAACAATTCAATAAAGAAATGATTGGAGTGTGTCAACTTGGATTCAGAAGTTCATGAAGCTAAAAGTCAGCCACCATAAGGTCAGTGGTCGAAGAAGGGGAAATGTAGCCACTCGAGGGTCCCCTAGGCTGGTGTCAGAGTCCGCGATCCATCGCGCGATGGATCACAGAAACCACAGGTTCCCCGATCAATACCGCAACGTGCTCTTCAATTCCGCCGTCATCTGTTCGATAGTAATGGTTTTATGACGACTCATATTCAGTGTATCAAGTGTTCAATGGGGCAATCGCGATCGCGATCCGTCCGCAATTCCCGCGAATTGGCGAAGGATCGCCGACTCTGACATTAGCCTCACAGGGAGGGACCATGCATGTTTTGGCACTAGCGGCGTGGTAGGATTAGGCAGATGTTAGACTTTGCGATCCGCGCGATTCGCTAGCGTTTGCGGTCGCGTCGCGGCCAGTGAATCATTCAATCGGCTGGTACCGCAACGCGACCGCGGACGCTAGCGAATCGCGCGATTCGCAAAGTCTGACATCGGCCTTATAGCCGCGCCGCCCGCAATGCCTGAAAGTTTTTTGCGTTTGTGGCTGGCAGTCCTCGAAATTGCGACCCCCTTCCGACCAAAATGCGACCCCTTCGTTCGAACAGTTCGAACGGACGGTTGACCCTGGGGGGGGTGAGGGCAGTCACTTGACATGCGTGAAAAGCTGGAATGTTCGAGTTTACACTGTCTCGCTCGAGAGAGCCCAGGTGAGCAGACTGCCGCGCCGCCGCGTGGTCCCCCCCCAACTAAGTTAGCACCGGCACAATTTGTTAATGAATCAGAGTTAGTCCATTTCTTCGTGAAGTGAGTTGTTTTTACAAATTCTCCATAACACTCTTAACAAAACGACGTGATGACAATAGGAGTACACAGCGCCTCACTGTGAACATGATTTAATATTGTAAACACAGGTGCATTAATCATAACTGCGAAACGCAGTGAGTGAACACAGAAGCACTGAATAATGGCGGGAACCAAGCGGCCGATGTTTAGTTCAATGAATAGCCAAAGAGCACCAGGAGAATAACGAGTTTCGTACATTTTCCACTTCTAATGGGCAGCACAATTTTCAAGTGGGTGAAAGAGTTTGAGCATTATTTATTAATCATTTTCCGGTTTAGTGTACAGAGAGCGTCAAGGTGTCATTTTAGTCAACAAAGCATGTGAGGTAGGAGCAGGGTCAACCCTGCGTTGCGCAAATTCCAAAATTTTTACGACCCCCTTCCTTTTCGGAGGGTATCGGTACGACCCCCCTCCGTATTAACTATTGTCTTTCAAATAATTTAATGTTCATCATCCATCCATCCTACCTACTATAAAGCGCTTCGTCTGTCGTCTGTCTGTCTCTGTCTGTCGTTCTGTATGTCTGTCACGAAATTCCCTAGCTCCTCGGGATCCGCCTGGAGGGACCGGGTCAAGTGTGGGATGGGTGGGCAAGGTCTCACGAAGTACAAAACACACATCAGCTAAGCGGAGCCCCGCCCACAGAGGGCGTGGCGTGCGTCGAAATGAACTGTACCGAAGACCAAGATTTCAATTTCAGTGACAAAACGACCTCGAAACTGGGCCAAAAAGTGGGTAAAGGTGTGCATTGGTAAGTCACATCGAATTAGGGAGACCCACCCCCGGTGGGCGGGGCGTTCTCCAAAAAAGCAGTGCTTTATGAAAAATTTCATAACTCGGTTGGAGAAAGCCTACATCGCAGAGAACAATTTGGTCTAAGGGAGCAATGTCT